ACACGTGGCTGGTTTACAGCGAAGAGCAGACACGTGGCTGGTTTACAGCGAAGAGAAGACACGTGGCTGGTATACGGCGAAGAGAAGGGGTTAAAGTGGAGCAGACACGTGGCCGGTTTACAGCGAAGAGAAGGGGTTAAAGTGCAAGAGCAGACACGTGGCCGGTTAACAACAAAGAGGAGTTGAAGTGCAAGAGCAGACACACTTGGCGCGCTGTGCGAGAGAGCAACCCCCTCCTCTGTAAGCGTCGCGACTAGATGACTTCAAGGTTGTTGACGTCAACGCATATTGTAGTATGTTAGACCACGAGTACGGAAGCCTCGGGAGCAGTGAAAGTGGAAGAGTGGTGATGAATCAGCAGGAGGAGGAGGAGGAGGAGGAGGAGGAGGAAGAGGAGTAAGAAGAAGAGGAAGAAGTGAGAGGGAGAAGAAGAAGAGGAAGAGGGAGAGCGAAAAGAAGAAGAAGAGGGACATAGAGAGAAGACGAGGGAGAGGAAGATGGAGAGGGAGAGGAAGAATGGTCAGCGCGGGAAATGTGTCTTGTTATCCGTCGATGTAGTTTGCACACGTGGCACACAATGAATGGTTTGAACCAGCGGGTTGGGATCGACGATGTCTGGTCAACGATGGTTGATGACGAGACTGATTGGTGGATGGGAGTGGAGAACTTTAGATGGATTGGTTGGCGGGGTTGTACGATAGTAGCGTGTGCATATTTTTTGCACTACGTCTTGTTGCTGTCTCAGTGTCATGTCCCCATCATTCCATATCCCTATCCTACGTACATCCAAAATCGCATATCCTTATCCGATATCCCATTTTGCCTTATCCATATTCATATCGGGATCCTGCTCGGGATCCTGCTCCCCTATCCTAGTCGGACAACCAATCGGGTAAATGATTGGAACTCTCGCCTGCGGCATCGCTTTGACGGTAATATATGGCAGCCTACCCCTCTCTCCCACAGACACACAGACACAGAGAGAGAGAGAGAGAGAGAGAGAGAGAGAGAGAGAGAGAGAGAGAGAGAGAGAGAGAGAGAG